GCCTCCCCATCCCTGTGCCATTTCTTGGCAGTGCCATCGTGGCTGGCTTAGTTACTTCCCTGAGCCTCACATTTCTGGTCTGTGAGGTGGAGCCATGCGATAGCTACTCTCAGGGTCTGGTGAGAAATAAAGGAGAAAGAATGTCGACTGAGGGCTTGGCTTGGTTTCCAGTATGGATTCAAAGAGGGTGGCTATTCTTAGGCACTAGGGACCTGGAGCCCTGAGAAGAGCCGAGCCTGGCCTGATGCTCACAGCCAAGGACAGTGAGACAGGGCTCGGGCACAGGTCCTGCTCCTCACTGACTTTTCCCTGACTCCAGCCTGCCAAAGCCTCCAGCCCTCAGCCCTGCTCTCCACCACCAAGGAGAGAGCCAAGCAGGGTTTCTCTCTCCACCCCAATGTTCATTTTGGGAGAATCCTCAGCTTTGGGGGCTCTGCTGAGCACACGCCTATTTCCTAATGTGGCTGAGTGTGATAACTCCCTGGGGCAGAGACCCTGGGACATTTGGCAACTAACTGCCTGTTTCTTTCTTCCTGTGCTCCCCAGAGCCGGAGGAGGCTGGGCCTGCTGGGAGAGCCCAAACTGTGACATAGTCACATGCTGCAGTTTCCTGAGAATAACAAGTGGGAGTCACACACACACACACACACACACACACACACACACTGTTTTCTGGGACAGCTGGTCAGCTGTTTTTCTTCTTTCTGCCTCCAATTCCTTCCCAGCACCAGCTCCAGCAGACAGTCCCTTCCTACCTGCTGTCTCAAAAGTCCCCTCCTCCCATCAGCACAGAGGTGGCAACTCTGGAAGCTGGCTCAAGTTCCACAGCATCCTGGAGGCCTAGGACCGGAGCCAGGCTTGGTCTGCAGGGCTTCCTAGCCTGGAGCTCATGCTCTGGGTTCCCAGTCCTCTTTTATCTCTTTGACTATGGAATATGTCCTCTACGCGACTCCATACCTCAGTATAATCATGCCAATGATGAGAACTCTCTACCCTCACCTTCTCCTTTGGGAGGATGGTGTCCCCAGAACCAGGTGATCCAAAGGGCTGGAATCTAGACAAATAAGTCTTAACATAGCAAGTAGGGGTGTCTTCTCTTGACAGTTTCTCCCCAGAGTCCAAGTTGTCTGGTCATCTTTTAGGATCTGCACTGTGAGGTCAGATGGCTACAAGGGCCTGGTCTTGTCTTCCCTTTGCCCTCAGAATCAAAACCAGCCCCTCCCACACTTGTACCTGCAATCCAAGACCAGAAAAACAGGAGAGACTTGGTGTGGGAGAGGCTGGTTTTTAGGGTAGTAAAGAGTTTTTACTAATAGTGAAGAATACAAAAAAAAGTTGTTTATTGATACAGTGCAAGAGAGCAATGGACAAGTCCAAGAGGAGATGGTGCCATTGCGGTGAAAGGCTGAGATATATATATTTTTTAATTTTAACATGGCTGGGGGGTCTGGAAATGTCATCCATGAACACTTTCTTTGGGTCACAGTGGTTCCATGGTCCCATCTGTCTCAGTTCTAAGGACAGACAAGTGATGTTTAAAGACTTAGTAAATGTTTGTTTTGTTCAGGTCCAGTGCCTTTGATGTCGCTAGAAACAATCCTTCTGGATAGAACTAACTAACAAATATGTAAAGATTAGCTACTGTTAGTGGTCAAGGGAATGGGAATGAAGTACAAATGTTTGCACTTGAAAGGACTTTTGATGTGATAGTGAAATAGCGAAGGAAATGGCATGTTTTAAGATATAACAAGCAGTTAGATCGGCTAGTGACACATGCGTACTTCTTGTGTGCATCTTAGAGGGTGGAAAGTTAATGATCAGCCACAGATTCATCCTTTAGGGGCAATGAGGCCTTTAAAGAAACAACGATAAAGCTGCTATGTTTTCCCACAGGGGAGGGTGACAACACACCCGGAAGCCAAACACCCAAAGGAACTTAAGGCTGCATGGGAAAAGGAGGAAACTGAGGCAAAGAGGCGAAGGTGACCTCAACTCACTCCATACACAGGGTATGTTGTAGATTTGTTGACTTATATCGTAGAAAAATATTGCAGGACACCTGCAGTGAGAAGGGTTTGAAAGATTTATTAGGCAGAAACAAAGAAGTACTCATTCAGAAGGGCATGTTGTGTTGGGGGGTTGGGGATTTTATGTGGTCTTGGGCATCTTCAAGACGGGTGACCTAGGATGGGTCTGTGCTCCCATTTGATGGGTTGTGTTCAGATGTAAACCATTTTCTTGTGTTTGAAGTTTAAAAATCTTCTGCCAATTCATATTGCTGCTTCCTTGAGGAAGGAGATCTTGGGAGGAAAAGCAATTTGAAGGTGAAGGCTCAGCCCCAACTTATAGGCTGATTGTACCTTTAAGAACCCTAATTTTTTTTTTATTTAGTTGCCTAGAAGGAAACAAAAGCATTGTGAACTTTTTTGGCCTGAAGCAGAAGTTCTTCTAAGTGAAGTTTAAGCATCACGCCACTGTGATGAATGTGCACCCATGTTTACAGCAGCATGGTTCCTAATAGCTAAATCTTGGAAACAACCCAAATGCCCATCAATTGATGAATGGTAAAAAAAATAATAATAATAATACTTTTATACAATGAGTACTACTCAACTGTAAAGAAGGATAAATTGAGACATTTATAACTAAATGGACAGACCTTGAGATCATACACTTAAGTGAAATAAATTGGACACATGTGTAAATATGGCATTATCTCTCTGTTATGAGAAACTGAAAGTGTAAATAGGAAACAAAATACATAATAGAAATGATGACATAGGAAGATGTTCAAAAGGAAAGGGAGACTAGGAAGGAGGAAAGGAAGGAAGGAAAAAGATAAAGAATGAGAAAAGAAGGATAAAATATAAACAAAGCTTTGTAAATGAGGGGGGAGAGGGGTTATAGTGAGGAGAAAAAATGTAAGAAAAGAGGAATCAAGATATATCATGTATGGGTACAAATTCTCTATGACAAATGTGATCATTACGTATATCAGGTTTTTTTTTATCCATTTATTGTACCAATAAACTTAATTTAAAAATAAGTATAATTTAAACATTATTATTTTCTTGTCTCCTTCCTGAAGTAGGATAGGAGAAATAAAAATAAAAAGAAGACAAAAAAAAGCATAACTAAACTTATACAACTTCCAGGACCCAGTCAGAGTTACTCAAGGCAATCCATATCTGCATTCCTTTGGTTTTCATTTTGTCTCTTCTTTCTTCCAGAACCATTACACCCCAAATTCTTCAGGGGCACTGTAAGACTATAAATTGAGTATAATTTTAAAAAGTACAGAGCAGAAACCACATCCCAAGATAAAGGAACAGATTGAGAGAGTTCAAAGAACGCTTAAATTACTCATCTTAGGGAAATTTTAAAACCTAGTTTCATACTATTAGCAGATTTTGAGGTGCCATGGATTCTAAAGATTATTTCAGGTTCTTGTTGCCCTGAACATAGAATTGGTCAAGACATGCACAAAAGCTACCAGACTTTACATATATTAAAGGCAGGAAAAAAAAATAAAATAAAAGCATTTAATCTTAAAAGTATAAAAAAAAATAAAAAATAAAGGTAGGAAAAGGAGTATGTTCTACAGAGTGACAGCTGGCCATTGAGAGAAGTCACAGTGGCCACAAGGCTAGTGTCTGCCTTCTTTTGTATCTGTCATTCTGATGGCAGATCTAGGCCATCATACCAAAAACCTACTTGATTTCACATCAGAGGAACTGAAGATAGCCTTCTCTGATTGGTCCCAGGTATCCTAGATCTCTGTGAATGACAGGTCACGCCCACTTGCCCAGCCAGCTGGCCGCAACCTAATCTCCTGCCTCAATAGCTATAAAATGGGCCATTCTGGGGGGGCAGCACACATTTCCTGGGGTTTCCACTCCCTCAGAAGAGGCATAAATGTTCCCAGGTCCAGGAAATAAGCACCTCCCTTGCATTTTATTTCTTGCACTTGGTTTCTTTTACATTCCTGCCTAATAAATCCCTTTATATCTCTTACTGACACATCTTGAAAATTCTTTTGCTGAGACAGTAATACACGCAGCATAATTGGGGGCTACAGGATCACTAACCACCCTTCACACACTCAAACCTAGGCAATGTCCCTGGGCCAATGCTCAATCTTGCCTCAGAAAGACAACAAAGACCCAGAGCCCTCCAAGGAAATTCTGGAAATTCTAAACCAAGACACAAGCATACTAGACTTCCTTGTGTGCCCTAATAACCTTTCTTTCCCTGGAATTCAGTGAAAGTTCCTTTGTGTGGACTGTACCTTACACATACAATTATAACAGATTACAGAGCAGATTACAGAAAGGACACACAGCAGCACCTTGTCAGTCAAATTATGTTGTCAATAAAGCTCTGACAAACCTCGGATGGGAGGTGTCTTATTTTCTCACTGCGGAGACAAAATACCCAACACTCAAAGTTAGAGGAGAAAGAGCTTATTTAGCTCTCAGTTTGTAGAGGTTTCAATTCAAAACTGACTGGCTCCAAGACTGGGTGGCATGGCAAAGTGACATCACAGAGGAGAAACAGTTCATGGTGAGGAGAAGGCGGAAGGCAGCAAGCTACAAGTGACTAGGGGCCCCGCTGGCCCTTTTTCACAGTTTGTACCTTAGAGCAGTAACCCTCACACCCAGTTCTCATGCCAAAACTATGCCAACCTGGTCAGTGGACTAATTTAATAATGAAATACTCATAATCCCAGCATCACACACTCTAGATAAAGCCACCTTTGAAAAGTCGCCACCTATGATGACATGAGGCTTTGGGGAAACATCTAGACACAATCCCTATCACAAGGTAGCTGACATTTACACCCCTATACTCCACACCCTTGCCATTCAGGGTTATTTTCCTTTTCACTCCAAACATACTTCTGCTTGAATAAACTTTGCTATTTACTTGCTGCCATATGCCACATCCTGTTCTTTGTTTGTCACATACAAAGCCTGGGATTGTACATTGCACATAAGAACCTGGGAACCGGTCCCCAGAGGGGACACAAGATAAGAACCCGAGGTGACAACGGGAATCAGCATACCTGCAACTCACTCTCCAGGTAGGGTGGCTTTAGGCTTCCCATCTCAGTGGGAACACTTGCAGAACCTATCTGGTGAAAATTTTGCCTGTCTTATGTCTTCTCTCCACATTCAGACTGAGCTAGGTTTGGCTGGGCATGAGGAGTCAGGGCTTAGATGGAGTAGGGTGCGTTGGGGGGAAGCTTGTTCAGAAACTTGCCAGTGGGTTTTAAGATTGTAACTCTATAGCCACGTAATCAGGACCATGTGATTTCATTTTAATGTTCCTTAACTGACACCCTCACAGATGTCATACCTGCTTGGGCCTGGGGTCCTCAGGCATTTCAGGCACCTAAGAGCTAGAGGTGTTCAAAATTATGCCCCCCGTTACCGGCCACTCAGGTTCATTTGCTCACTGCTGACCAAATCCAAGATGGCTATTTATTTTGGTAAAAAGGAAAAAAGATTTATTTACAGCTAGCTCCAATGAGATGGAGGGGCTATTTGCCTCAAATCAGCATCTCACCTTGTACAGATCAGGAGGGGTCTTTTATAGTAAGGAACAGAGGGGAGCCGGAGCACAGAAGGTAATGTAGATCTCCACACTTGCTGCGTCACTTCCGGCCATCCTCAGCTCGTCTCCCCCGTCTTGTGGAGGAATCCAGAGTCTGGCCTCCTGAGGCAGGCATCTAGGCCTCTGCACGTTGGGTCATTTCTTTGGGGGAGGGGTGTGGGTTCTGTGCACGGCAGGAGGAACTTTGGAGAAGTTGCTTATCTCTGAAAGAAGAAAAGAAAATCCAACTTTTAAAGTTCCACTTTGCAATGATGGTCACAAGATTAGATTTCAACATTTTAACTTTGACAAGCCACGGGCCTTGGTGTGCCGGTCGCTACCTAGAGCTAACTTCCCCATCCAGCTGCAGCTTCTGACCCCAGGACAAGTTGTTTGACAGTAGGTAGAACAGTTGTGAGGACATGGGGTGACAAGTCCTCCTGGCAAGCACCCTAGATCAGGGGAGAAGTCTTCTCGCCCGAATGACAGTGACTGTGACAGTACCTAAATCATTCTGGGACTCAGTTTCCCCATCTCCCAGGCGGAGTGTGATCATCCACCGCTGTGGGTTGTTTATAACCCTGGAGAAAATGCAGGTGAAGCACCTGGCACACACTAGGTACCAGGCACTGTTTTCATGATTAGCAAGCCATAGGCTTCCGGTTGTTGCAGACAGGTAAGAACAGAAACGAGGGGCCGGGGAGATGGCTCAGTGGAATAAGTGCTTCCCTGGCAAGCGCAAGGGCCTGAGTTCAATCCCTGGTTTCGCCAAAAAAAGAAAAAGAAAAGAAAACAATTTGGGGCTGGAGAGATGGCTCAGTGGTCTAAAGCACCTACTTGGAACAAGCTTGGCAAAGCACAGGGACCGCGGTTCAATCCCCCAGCACCA